GATGATTTCAGCAAGGAAGCGGCTCGCACCTCTAGCGGGTAGTGCGGGTCCCTGAGCGGCGGCGGGGCCCTGGGCAGCCGCTTAGTTCGCTTAGGGAGGGCCGACAATGTGTGTGTGAGCGAGGCCTGGTAAATAAGTGAAGCGTTTTGATTGGCTGTGTCAGGAAAAGGTCTTATTAAATGACATCTTATTTATATTATGGGATGTTTTTTATAAGTTGTGTACATTTTAAGACTTTTTATTTAAAAACTAATGTTGCACACACACTGTGCTGTATGGAATGCAAAATCTTTAAAGCTCAATATCTCAAAATCCTCCAGAACGCAGACAGAGCCTGACCCGGAGCTGTGGACACCGAGGCTGGAGAGGTCCCAGCATTCGCTTCAGTGTGAGAGCAACAGGAGACAAGCTGCTGAACACAGAACACTGCCGCCACCTGCTGGACACACGCACAACTGCTCAATCCAGAGAGAGAGAGAGAGAGAGAGAGAGAGAGAGAGTGTGTGTGTGTGTGTGTGTGTGTGTGTGTGTGTGTGTGTGTGTGTGTGTGTGTGTGTGTGTGTGTGTGTGGCTGAATGTGCAGCTCTTGATTCTTCACTCTTGATCTGATGATCGTGTTTGTCTCCGCTGTTGATGGTTGAGGGATGAGTGAGTGCTGATGTATTAATGATTCATTCATTCATTTATTTTCTTGTTGGCTTAGTCTCTTTATTAATCCAGGGTCACCACAGCAGAATGGACCGCCAACTTATCCAGCAAGTTTTTTATGCAGCTGATGCCCTTCCAGCTGCAACCCATCTCTGGGAAACATCCACACACACATTCACACACACACACTCGTACACTACGGACAATTCAGCCTACCCAATTCACCTGTACTGCATGTGTTTGGACTGTGGGGGAAACCGGAGCACCCGGAGGAAACTCATCCCAACACGGGGAGAACATGCAAACTCCACACAGAAACGCCAACTGACCCAGCCGAGACTCAAACCAGCGA